GGGATGACAGGCATTTGCCACCATGCCTCATTTTATATGGTGCTGGAGATCAAACCTAGGGCTTCATGCTTGCTAGACAAACATGCTATCAACTGAATTACATCCCCAGCCTATTGAGTAGATTTAGAATTAAAAAAAAATGTATTGTGTTTGTGTGTGTGTGTGTATATGTGTGTGTGTGTATGTGTGTGTGTGTGTGTGTGTGTGTGTGTGTGTGTGTGTGTGTGTATGTGTACGTGTACTTGTGTACTTGCCGTGGCATGGGTGTGGAGGTTAGAAAACAACTTTTGGAGTCAGTTCTCTCTTTCTACAACTGTGTTCCAGAACTCAAACTCAGTTCATCAAGCTTGGTGACAAGAGCCTTTACTCTGAGCCATCTCACTGGTCCAGAGATTTTGAAACTACAGTAAAAACAGTATTTGGACTCTGTGGAATTGATGCCAGCCTGATCCACATAGTGAATTCCAGGCCAGCTGTGGCTATAGAGAGACCCTGTCTCAAAAAGAACAAAATAAAAGAAAAACCACAGTATCTGGAAGTAGGCTTCTACTGTGATTTCAGTAATTACTAAGTAAATAAATAAAATCAGTAGTATTCACATGGGAAAATGGGTTTATTTAGACTTTATACCCAAAGAATTTAAATTTAAAATTAGTCTCCTAATTCAACTTTTAGTGAACTTCATAAATCTAGGATATTGTGATCAAGAACTCTACATAGTTTACCACTAAGAAGTCTTAAGTAAATGACTAACCTTGGATTTGACTGGTCTACTACGTGAGTAAGTTATTTTCATAGTTAGTGAAGCTTAACTGAATACCAGACCTATAAACTCATAATATTACTTTGGGAAAAAGTCATGTTTGGTAGGGGTAGCTCTTAAGATAGTACAGATATTTAAAAATGAGCACTGCAAAAAAGCAGGACATTGAAGAAGGAAAATGTCTCTCATCCTGACTTCATTTGAATAAACTGTTCTCGCTAACCCATCCTCCCTCCTTAAAAAATAAATTCCTATGGTTTATCTTAATCCTTAAAGTATACCTTAAGGGACTGTAGAGATGGCTTGACAGTTAAGAGCACTGGCTGCTCTTGCAGAGGACCCAGGTTCGATTTCCAGCACCCAAATGGGGGCTAACAACTGTCTGTAACTCCAGTTCTAGAAGAGCCAACAACCCTCTTCTGGCCTCCTCGAGCATTACATGACACAGATGTACTTAGATGCATGCAGGCATCATACATACACATAAAATAAAAAAATTAAATAAAAAAAAATGTACGTTAGAAGCAACTTAAAGCTAGTTTGTGAGGGTATTTTAGGGTTATAGTTTATAAATATGAATTGCATTTTGATTTGGTTGTCCTATATGTGTTTTCTTTGCTGTACATAATTTAACTTGTTCCCTTTTGTCATGTCTTCAACTTTAATCATTTCATCCACATTTGGAAGTTTTATTTCTCCTAAAGTCTCATCTTAATTTCTTTGACCTTTTACTTCTTTTTAATGCTCTTAACACTTCCCAGTATAGTATCTTCTGTGAACTTACTTAGCGAATTTCACAGCCTTTCCAAATAGGTATGATGTTTGGCATCTCCAATTATTAAATGATTCTTACCTCAACTTATCAGACACTTTTGCAGCCTTCTCTTTGTTTGTCACACATGTAAATCAGCTCTCATTTCATTTAGGCTTTTAAAACAGTGAACCCAAAACAGACATCAGAGCTTAGGTTCAGCATGCAGGAATGTGCTGTTTGGGTGCCCGAATTCATTTTATTTTCCAGTAAAATGTTGCTTGGTGGAGAGAGTGGTTGTTGACCTGAATTGAATGGGGATGGGTAAAGACTCACTAAGATTAAGCCATTTCTTTTTCTTTTTTTTTCTTTTTTTTTATCTGTATGTGTGTATTGCCTGCATGTAGGTGAGTGCACCCGTGTCGTGCAATGTCGGCAGAGGTCAGAAGAGGCTGTTGGATCCCCTGGGACTGAAGTTACAGACAGTTGTTAGTTGACATGTGGGTGCTGGGATTTGAACCCGGGTCTTCTACAAGAACAACCAGTGTTCTTAACCGCTAAGCCATCTCTCCAGCCCCAAGATTAAGCCATTTCTTATATAGAGTTTTCCTAAAATTAAAATTAAAATCTGTTTGCATCTTATTCTTTCAGCTGTGTGAAACTTTCTGTACGTCTGGTTTTGCTTAGTATGTTTATATTTATTTCTCTTACTGGATTATAAATTCTGACAGGGCAGCAATTTTTTTTCTTTTAATTCCCCAGCACTTAGAATAGAACCTTATTATTAGTTAAAGTAAATAAAAATACATTAAAATTAACTTGAATTTTCCTTTTATACTCCTTTAGGACTCAAAAATGGTATTCTGATCATTGATAGGCAGTGGTTTAAAAGAAATTTTACTAAAATTTCTAAATGTTTTAACTTAATTCTTTTTCTGTAGAGAAGTATATCACACAAAACGAATGCAGCATGTTATTTGTGTGAAATGGACTTCTGACAGCAAGTACATTATGTGTGGATCTGATGAAATGAACATTCGTCTGTGGAAAGCTAATGCTTCTGAAAAACTGGGTGTGGTAAGACTCCATTTTCTTTTATTTCAATTAAAACTAGTTTCTCATTTTATTGAATATCATTATATAGAATTTTATTTGAAATACTTTAGTTACTTTGATCAGATTGACACTGCTGTGATAAAAAGAAAAAAATTAGCAACAAAACAAGATTTTACTGATATTTTTCATATTAAAAACACCTTCAAGTTTGGGGAGATGGCTTATTTGGTAAAGTGCCTACATTAAAAAAAAAAAAAAAAAGTAGTTAGGCATGGCAGCAGACCTGTAAGCCCAGAACTGGGGGGAAGACAGGAGGATCTCTGGGCCTCACCAGTTAGACTGGTTGGCAAACTAGCTGAATTGGACCCTTTCTAAAAAAGTAAAGTGGGAGAGCAATTGAGGAAGACACCCTCTGTCATCCTCAGGCTTTGACAGACACATGTGCATACACACAGACCCTCCCTCCCTTCCTCCCTTTCTTTCTTCCTTCCTTCCTCTTTTTCTTTTTTGGTGGGGGGGATCTTTTTGAGACAGGGACCTGGATTTCACTATGGTAGACCAGGCTGTCCTCGAACTCACAAGAGATCCGCCTACCTCTGCCTCCTCTGCTGGGATTAAGGAATGTGCCACCACACCAGCTACAGACACTTTCAGAATGCCTTTATTCAGGTGTTCGATAATATTTGAGCTTTCTTAGTTCTTTGTGTTTTCTTGGGACAGGGAAAAATGATATAGAGATCAGAAGCAGGATTTAGAGGGGCATCTCTCCTGGTACTGGACTAGTGGGCAAATCAAAGGCTGAAAGTCCTTGAGAGATCTTTAATACCAAAGACATTGAAAACCTAAATTAAACATAGCTTAGATTTTTCAAATAGTTTTGTTAAGATTCAGCAACTATATCATTGACTAATTATGTCTGGATCAGTATAGTGGTTGGGTTTTATTTTGTGGATATTTTCTAAATGTTCCACTTTTCTATGAGGAATATACAGAATGTTTATATCAGAAACAAATATTAAGAAGGGAATGTTACGTTTGAACTGTTTTCTACTTAACTCTGGTAGGAAAATCAAGTTACAATGAAAGGTAATTCTATCTTTATCTTTAAATATTGCTCTATACCTAGGTCTTAGTTCATTATTAAATGTTCTAGTGTGTTTGTATTGTCCTTAATCTTGTTAAACAAAACTACTTATTCTTTTCATGTAGTTTTCTGTCATTTATGCCTGGCAAATGCCACAGCTTGTTCCTTCAGCAGTGTTGTTTTCCTTTGCTGATATTTGTCTATACTGTTGATGTGCTGCCCCCAAAACAGTTCGCTCTTGCAGAGTAAATCTAATGACCTTGTAAATTGGCAATTTTAGTTGTATGTCATAAAAATTTGATTTGGGGGAACAGGGGAGAAGGATGTAGAAGCAAAACAAAGAATAGGAGGTACCAAAATGTGTTTTGGTTTTAGCTTACATCACGTGAAAAATCAGCAAATGATTATAACCAGAAGTTAAAGGAAAAATTTCAACATCATCCGCATGTAAAACGTATTGCTCGCCATCGACATCTACCGAAATCTATCTACAGCCAGATTCAGGAGCAACGCATCATGAAGGAGGCTCGGCGTAGAAAGTATGTGTTGGCTCTTAGCCCAGGGCCCTTTATCTTCTCTCCCTCTTATCTTACGTTAATCAGACAGAAACTTTCAGGGCTAAAGAGATGCTCTTTCAGAGGACCTGGGTTCAGTTCCCAGCACCCACATGGTGGTTAACAACCATCTGAAACTCTAGTACCAGGAGTCCTCATCTGACCTCCAAGGGCATTGCACAACATGGGTGTACTTACATGCAGGCAAAATACTCATACACAAAATTTTTTTAAAAAGTCAAGCCAGAAACAAACAGAAACTTTCTTATAAAACAGTAGGGTAGTTTTTTTTATTTGTTTGTTTTTGTTTTTGCCTTTTTGAGACAGGGTCTCCCTATAGGCCCAGCTGACCTGAAACTCACTAGGTAGACCAGATTGGCCTCTATCTCAGAAATCCGCCTGCCTCTGTCTTCCTAGTGCTGAGATTAAAGGCATGTGCCACCATGCCTGGCAAAAAAGCAGTGATTTATATTAATGTACATTAAGTGTACCTTTGAAGACTTCACTGGGCTGCATACCCCCCCCCCTTTCCAGTAAAGGGGGAAACTGATCATCTAAGAATATGAGCATTTCCATTACTTATTTTGGGGAATACATTTAAAGTACAAATGAAGAAAATTATTTATCAAAAATAAGAAAATACTTCTCAGTTAGGGGGATACTGTTCAATGGTAGAATATGTTCCTGGGCCACAAGACCCTGGGTTCAGTTACCAGCATGGGCAGAAGGAAGGGAAAAATGGGGGACTCATTTTAAAACTATTATGAATGATAATATTTGAAAATTGTTTCTGTGTCACTTCAGCAGCACATACACTAAAATTGAAACAGTATGAAGGTCAGCATGGCCCTTGTACAAGGGTGATATGCAGACTTGGAGAGCATTCCACATTTTCTGATGATTATTTCTGTGGGGCTAGGGATGTGTATGTGCGAAAGTGCACAGGTATGTGAGTGCATGTGCAGATCAGAAGTCAATATCAGATGTTTTCTTTTATCACTCCACCTTGCCTTTTTTAAATGGGGTCTTTTCACTGAGCCTGGAGCTCATCTCTCAGCTGGGCTTGGCTAGCGCCTTTCTGGTGCTAAGATTACAGACGTAAGTACCACACTTGGCTTTTTTATTTTTAATGTAGCTGTAATTATGAAATATTGTACATTTTCTAAATTAATTCAGAGAAGCTGGCTGTAGGGCACACACCTACGATCCCAGCACTCTGGATCGTGAGTTCAAAACCAGCCTGGGCTGCATTGCGGGAACTTAAAAACTCATTTTATCGCTCAGTTCTTTAAAAAATTCTAATATGCTTTATCATAACGTTTGAGATCTAGTGTTTTGTTTCTTGAGATTCACTCACTCTGATTCCTAAACTGGCCTTGAACTTTTGGGCTCAAATGATTCTCCTTCCCTTAGCCTTCTTTGAGTAGCTGGGACTCCCAAGCACACACCACTGGTCACAACTAGGGAACTAACACTTTGACTCTAAACCACCATCATTCTCCTATGGAATATTCTCTTTGGAATCCATGAATTAATGCAAAGTATTGCAGAAATTCTTAGAGCTCCTTTTGTGGCTGTTACTTTGCTTTTGAGTAGATATTGGGAAGGAATTATATGTATCTCTTAGTAACTGTGTCAGGTTTTTAAACTTAGTAAAGGACATTGGTCATTAATAAGATAAGCAAGCCACAAAAGTTGGATTTCTAGTTGGTTGTTACCTTTTACCATTCTCATTGGGAAATTCTTTTTACAGTGGTTTTCTGATGAAGAAAATGCTTTGTGATTTTTAAAATATTTCTTTGATGAAGATGATTTCATTGCGCATATTTTATAAATTTTGTTTATTTCTAGGGAAATGAATCGTCGTAAACATAGCAAGCCTGGATCTGTGCCGATTGTGTCAGAGAGGAAGAAACACGTAGTGGCAGTTGTGAAATAATGTTTGGTAGTCCTGGCAAGCCTGATATGTAATCATTTGTTACTTTTTGGTTTGGGAACCCTGTAAATAAAAGTACCGCTTCTAATTTAATAGTAAACATTTCAGTTGTGTGGTTTTTCTTTCCTTTTCACCCCTTGACTCTGATCTTTCTCACTTTTGCTTTTCTTACTCATGTTTTGACTGACCTAAAATCTGGTTATACCAACAGCAAAATCAACTGTTAGTTTATTTGCTACCTAACAAGTGAAACAACCGTGGTATGTTTGCTGGTGTTTTGTTGGAGCATTTGGTGTTACTGCCATGAAGAGAAAGGCCACCTGATGAGTCACTGGCACTACCTCCTGCTACAACCTGGGTTTCCATAGTGATGCTTCAAGTGCCTCACACTAACAGAACCTGACTAGTTAAAGACATGAGCAATTTCCTGTAATTTGAGCCTTTTACTAATCTAGACATCGGAGCATGAGTCTGATCATTTTGAAATGTCACTTTTCAAGTTCACAGTCTTGTAATAAAATGCACAGATATGTTTCCCATGAGTGAGATTGTCGGGATAGAACTCTCAGGGAAGGAAATAGGATGGGGACAACAAGAAAGGGTTGCTTAAGGAGATAAAGAAACATAAGTAAACACATACAGGAGCCAAAGTTGTGTCAAATGCCTTGTTACTAAGTCTTGCCATGTGGCCACTACTGTGACACTTCTCTTGAATGGAAACAGAAAGCAGACTGCCCTTCAGCCTATTATAATTCCTACCACCCTATTTTCAGGGAAAAAAAGGGAAGGGAAAAAAACATGGGAAATGACTATATCATAAACAAGAAAAGGTAATCAAGCTGTCTTCAGAGAGTATTTATGGTCAGCTTGGATGGTGGAGTAGTGAATCCAAAATTGGTTGGAATCCAGTGATTCATTCACACAAGGCTATAAAGCTGCATTAGAACATACTAAATAAGTATTTGATGGTGGGGATTTTGAAGCATGGCAAATTGGTGTTTTCCAATATTTTGGTATTATGATAATCCTAATGTTACTAAAGGTGCCTTATATTAAGAGCATCATTTTGATTTCTTAAAAAACAACTGAGGCTGGAGAGATGGCTCAACGGTTAAGAGCACTGACTGCTCTTGCAGAGGACCCGGGTTCGATTCCCAGCACCCACATCCCAGCTACAAACTACTCTTAACTCCAGTTCCAGGGGAATCCAAAGCCCTCTTCTGACCTCTGTAGCATTGCACGACACGGATGCACTGACATACATGCAGGCAATACACTCATGCTCAAAAATATTAAAATATTTTTTAAAAAACGTGTGACACGTGAGGAGTGCATTCATGTAGGACACATGTTTAGATGCCAGAGGACAACTTTGGGGAGTTGGTTCTCCCACCTTAACATGGGTTTCAGGGTTCAAACTCAGGTTAGCAGCAAGTGTCTATCTGCTGAGCCATCTCACCAACCCAGTGAATTTAAAGTCATTGAATGGCTAGGATTAAATCAGGGCCAGGAACTCAATGAGTGAATGGATAAATGAGAATAATGATTTATGTATTGAATGCATACTGAGTCCCAGCATGCACTCGCTCTCTCTCTCTCTCTCTCTCTCTCTCTCTCTCTCTCTCTCTCTCTCTCCGTATGTATGTTTTGGGAGATGGGATAAAACGGTGAAGTTCATTATTTACATGTATAAAGTGAGCATAGAAACGGTACTGTCATGACAGCTTCGCTCAGTCAGCGATGATGAGCTGGTCCACCCCCCAGTCTTTGTAGTTACCATCTGGCAGGTAGCAGTGAATGATGTTGGGGATCTTTCGGGCCTTGAACTCCTTCACTGCCATGAGCAAAGGGTCTGTTTGCTCTTCCAGCTCCACCATCAAAGGGCACACATCTCAATCTGGAGTGCTTGGGCACCTGGCATGAGTTCTTGTTCATACTTCGTCATGTATGGACTGATTCACTTTTTGTTGGCCTGCAGTTGCTCCCAACATTTTCCTGACCCTCCTCAGCATTTTCCAAGTCATCTAGTCCTTCATCCTCCACATCATCAAAGTCATCACTGTCAAAATTGTCCTGGTCTGACACGATGCACTCACTACATCTGAGTCTGCAGCTCAGACTAGCACAGAACCACACATGGCCTGGGCTTCGTGTATGTCCTTTTAAAATCAAGGGCAGTATCAGCTTTGTGCTTGAATTTATGTGTGTATGAGTGGAAGTCAAAGGCAGTACTAGCTTTGTGCCTAAGTTTTTTCATAAGCACTAAAGCTAGTGTCAGGTGAACTAGTTCACCTCCTTGCATTCCCTGTTTGAATGGCACACCACTACAGAGATTCTCAAGAAAACAGTCTGCATAAGAGCACAGATTTTATCAATACTTCCAACAACAGTACCTACTGGCCCGCTGTTCACTGAACACACAGCACTGTGAATGGCTTTGTGTGCACTTAATTGAAATTAATTTGCCTTGAATTCTCATAAGAACCTCCAAAGAAAGGCCTTATTATAATCCATGCTTAGTCTACACTCAATCTGTCTTAAGGGCTCAGCCTCAAAGGGGATAAACATGGAAACAAATACTCACAGAGCATTATGATCTCTTAGCAGGATACTGCAGCCACACACAGAGGAAAAGCCTTCCTGTTGAGAAGGAGTCCTCCAGAATGTTTATCAAATACCAGCTCATTCTGGTCTTACTGCAAGGGTAAGTGGAAATGGAGTAGCGAGGTTTTCAAAATAAATGACTTGAAAAAACACTCTGGCTATGCTTTATTAGAAACTTACTGTTCCGGGTCAATACATGAAGTTTGGGTGAATACTCTTTCTCCTGAGAGAGAAGTTATGGGATATATAGGTATTTTGTTAGATAGTAAAGATTAATGGATCAGAAAGCTCAAAATATGCATCCAGGGGCCTTAGGGCAGAGGGTGGAGAGAATGAAGGTGAAGGTGATGAGTGGAAGTTATGAGCCACAGAAGGGTGTGCTGCAGATCCTGGTGGTTAGACCCAGGACAAGATTAGCAACAAACTTCCAGTAGATGTACACATGTGCGTGCTCATGCCTTGCAAAGGACCAGAGAAGCCTAGCACCCCCCCCCATGTGTCCTTGGATTTTTACTCCATTAATACACCCACTCAAAGGAGAAAATCAGTTTTAGGGCCAGCTTTAAAGTAAGCCTGAATGGGCCAGAGATGTAGCTCAGTTGGTAGAATGCTTACCTAGTATGCATGAGGCCCCAGGATTGATCCCCAGTCACAAAAATCTAGGTGTGGTCATACACAGTCTGTAATTCTAGCATTGGAGAGATGGGTGCAGGAGTTTAAGGTCACCCTTCGCTACATACTGAGTTCAAAACCAGCCTGGGCTATTATGAGATCCTGTGTTGAAAAATAAATTTTTAGAAAGTTTGAAAAAAAAAAAAGCTTGAATGAAGCTGGATGTGGTGGTGTATGTTTTAAATCCCCTTGTTGGAAAGAGTCTGAGGCAGGAGGATCAGGAGTTCAAGAACAATCAGTGCTAGCTACATGGTGAAATCCTGTCTCTCACACATACTGTCCCCCTGCCCCCCAAGCCTGAAATAAAACATCTCTCCTAGTTGGGCATGGGTGGCTCATGCCTTTGATCCCAGCACTTGGGAGGCAGAGGCTGGTGGATCTCTGTGAGTTTGAAGCCAGCCTGGTCTACATATCGAGTTCCAGGCCAGCTGGGGCTACAGGGAGACCCTGGCTCAAAAAGACGAAATAAATAAATAAACATCTGTGCTACAACTAAACATAAAAATAATTCCTAGTTGGAACTGCAGAGATGGCTCAGTGGCTGCTCTTGTAAAGGACCCAGGTTCAGTTCCCAGCACCCACATGGCCACTCAACTGTCCTTTTAACTCCAGTTCCAGGCGATTGAATGCCCTCTTCTAGCCTCCATGCGTATTAAACAAATGGCTTACATATATGTAGCCAAA